CATATGTGTAAAGATGAATCTTGTATAAAAACTTAATACAAATACTCCTTGCTTCACACAACTCACATCATATGCGTTAATTTTATAACATTATTCGCATTTTGTTGATAGTTGAGGATAAAGGGAGAAATATTAAAAAAGGACCAATTTTATCATTATCAGAATTTACTTAATTGAATTGATCGACTCTTTTAAACTTTTGGATCTACCTCTACATCTTTTCAGAATGTCTTTGGTATTTAAAAATATTGCAAATTTATAACTTCCAGAAAACACCAGGGAAATAATAGAGATATCGGTATTATAACTATAGGAAATACTGGCGTATATATATATATATATATATATATATATATATATATATATATATATATATATATATATATATATATATACACACACAGATTTAAATTCCAGCATATTCGTTGTTTGCCTACTCTACTGTATTACCATACTATCGTGGGGTTTTTTCTTAAACCTTACAACCACATGAAAAGGAGATGATAAAAATATCGTCTGCTATGATATTACAAAGTGTAAATGTCATTGATACCGTTTGATTATAAACTGTTTAAAAAATGTTCCCCATTGGTAAAATAATCTAGCTATTGTTTTTGTAATGCCATTGTTTATAAAACTTATTGTTCATTGTATGCAACGTAAATAAAATGCAGAAAGTCTATAATAAGTTATATTTTTATGCGTTTTAATGAGCTGAATTAAATTCATTTACAGCTTTAAATACATGTAACGTTGCAACGATGCCAAATTGGATAACTATAAATTTATTAAAATTGTGTACGAGATGCATATTACATCTAAAGACTATGTAGTAAAGTATTTGTACATTTATGGCTACACTATTTTAGCACTTCTTGACTCAGAGCTACATTTGTTATGCAAAAATTAAAAAAAAATGAATAAACAAAAACAAGACAAAACAAGAATAAATACGTCATTGGATCTCTGGTCCACCCCCTCAATACATTCTTGTTCTTAATATCTGCCAACGGTCGGTCCGATTTCTATCGGCAAGTCATTTATTCGCTCTGTGTGTGCATGTGTGCGCATATACACACAAACACACACACATACACATACGCAGACACACACACACACACACACATATATATATATATATATATATATATATATATATATATATATATATATATATATATATATATATATATATATATATATATATATATATATATATATATATATATATAATATCATAACCTTTTATTTGAAAAATGACATCCTAAATATTATGCATCTTGAAAACAGAGAACGGGGGACGGAAATTTACAGTAATTGGGTGCCTCATTTGCAATAATGAAATCACCTGCTCACATCTATACATATTTTACTCTGTATCTAGTTGCTGTTTTTAATATATTTGTAAACAAATAAGAGGATAACTTGACTTTTTAAAATACAGAACTGTTTAACATTTTTTATCTATTATCATCACCATCTTCATTATTATTAACACCACCACCAGTATCAGCAATAGTAGCAGCAGTATATCATACTTTCATAATTTACTTCTCCGTGTCCTTCCTTGCCTGTTTATCTCAACATTTCCTCCATTTCAACTTCACAGTTTTTCTCCCAAAATGGTCATCACGTGACGCAGTTTCGCGCATTTCCGTCCTTGTCAAATACCCTGAAAGCGTCACTCACTTCCTCATCTATGTATTTTTTGTGCAAGGTCCTTGATATCAGCGCCAAATGTATGGCTCCGGTACTTAGATTAAGCTAGATCATTAATATTATATTGGATGTATCGAAAGAACAAGCTGTGTGTGTGTGTGTGTGTGTGTGTGTGTGTGTGTGTGTGTGTGTGTGTGTGTGTGTGTGTGTGTGTGTGCGTGTGTGTGTGTGTGTTTTGGATTTTTAAGCTAGCTTTAAAAAGTTTTCCATCATTTCGCTACGATGTCTTCAGTTTAACAGTTTGTAGTGATGTCTAGCACTAATTACTCCGCAGACATGTAGCATGATGTATACCACCCAGGCACACTACCCTGATTCTAGGCCAAGAAGTCCTAACACGCCTAACGAGGAAGTTGTTAGTACTAATTTTATTAGTCTTTGGTAAGACTTGGACGGGGTTCTAACACGCGACCTCCAGCATCCGGGGCCATCGGAGCAGTCAAAAGGACAAGCTGAAGAAAAAAAAAAAACAGGCAAAAGTCTTGTTTATTTTTCTACTATTAAAGAACGACAATTAGAAACGTCATCTTATTTTACGTATCTCACCATTTTTATACGTTATACTGAAACGTCAAAATCTGTCAAAATGCGTGCATTTTCATATAACAACAAAATCCTCAGAGTAAACGAACAGTAAAAAAAATTGCAATAATTTTCCATAATTTATCAAAAAATAATTAATAAATAGTAAATAACAATTTATTTTTAATTCGGGATACATATTTGTCTGACTGCTTGTGCTTGTGGAAGTCGTGCAGTAGAAAAGTAGGTTAATAAAAAGTACCGGCAACATCTAACTCTGTTATGCATTCCTGTAAGCAGCCCTGTAATGGGTAATGGGCAAGCGATCTCATTACCAATTCCAAAACATTTCTTGTTATGACTCGGTCGCCATTTTATCGAACAGTCTGAATACTTCGTTGATTTTAAAAAATGCATGTAAGGCAAATAAAAATACTTTAAAAACTGAATTAAGCAATAATAATAATAATAATAATAATAATAATAATAATAATAATAATAATAATAATAATAATAATAATAATAATAATAATAATAATAATAATAATAATAATAGTAGTGTTAGTAGTTATTATTATTATTATTATTATTATTATTATCATTGCTTAATTCAGTTTTAAATTATTTAAATTATTATTATTATTATTATTATTATTATTATTATTATTATTATTATTATCATCATCATCATCATCATCATCAGCGGTTTCATTTCCAATAATAACTCTCTGCTTTATATAATTCTTGTATCATTTATTTGGTAAAAAAATAAAACTATTCATGTTGTCTGTGATTGTTTTCTAATTAAAATAAACTTAATTTTTCTGTTATCTGACAGGTTTCAGTGATGATTGTAGGTTCCAATCATCACCCCCTTCCCCTTTCCCGGACGGAGAGCGGAAAAAGTCGGAACTTCTTTTGCTGGAAAAAGAATATAATACAGTTTTTGTAACCTTTTCCAATCTATCTTTTGCGTGGTCTTCTGAGTAAAATCTGCGTTTGATAAGACGAGACCAAAATATTCCGGCTCAAAGAAAATTCCATGAAAGCCCTTCCAAATCTTGGAATCTATAATTTTATCACCTACGTTATTCATGGTATTAACCAAATCAGAAATTACAATGACTATGTGACTGACACCATGTTTCCTGACAGGGTCTATAACATTGATGGTATATAGAATTATTAAAATATGTAGTATTTTAAGAGATGTATGTATCACGTCACTGCTAGACAGAATCCATTCACAAAATTTCCAAGCTTTATTTCAAAATAATTGAAGTATTTTTTACCAACACATTCTAACAAGCATTTTGATTGGTTAAAATAGCATCATATAAATGCACAAAACGTGAAGTTATTAAATCATAAATGCGGAAGGAAACTATTTTCTCTCGCGTTGCTAGGCTTAATTTTTGTTTATCCAGATAGCCACATAAAACTTAATTGTCTAAGATTCTATTACACGCTGCTAAATTTGCAGAAAATTTATTTTAAAAATAATGTGGATTGAATATGTCTAAAATGACGTATCAGTGTTCACATGTAAAACTGCATTGTTTCCCCTGACAGCATATTACCTTATGTATTAATGTGCCCTTCGAGTGCACTTTAACGATATTTGCAAACAGTGGTTTATAGCTGTGCTATTTATTTATTTTTTGTCAAGGTTTGCTGTTACATTGCATTTGTAATTATACCAGTCTAAATTATTTTATAGTATTCAGCTTGAAAATCGATTACACACTATACATTAACGACCTTCGCTTGGTTTAGGACGTTCATAAAATCAATAATCGAATTTTAAACTTCACAACTTCATGCCTACAGTACGATATAGTTCAGTTTTTAATAACATTTAATCAGAGGCTATAAATTTTGGCATAGGACTGTAAATAAGGCATGAATAATGTATATATAAATTTATCTGTACATAGAGTGGATTTTTTTCATGAAACGAGTGAATAACGGATTTGTTTCTTCGCATGAGTAAAACACTGTATTTTCATCCATGAAATGAAATATAATCTTTATTCACTCGTGCCAAGCAAATTTTATTTAATTTTATGTATTACTAGCAAATGTCTGGCATAGCGAAGTAGACTTTTTCAATGTTTTGTAATTATTCGCACATAAAAAGCGTGTGTCTGTGTGTACGTCTGTTTGTGTGTTATTTTGATTTTTAAAGTAGCTTTAGCTTAGCAATTTGAGTCATATCCCTCGTTTTTGAGTCATGTCCCTGCCATGTCCGCAGCGTGGCAGTCTATAGTGAAGTCAAGCACTGGGGCATCATACCGCAGATATGTTGCATCAAGTCGCACCCACTAACATTATCTTGTCACCATTCCGAACAGTCCAAATACTAGCCTCTTAATGCTGAGCTCCAAGTGAGGCGACTGCTAGTACCATTTGTATGTCTTTTGTGTCTTTGGCTGAAGTTCCAACCTGCTACAACCCGCATCTAACGCAGAAAGTAATGGCGGTAACATAATTACTTTTCCCAACTCAAAGTAATGTGTGTGAGAGTGATTTAGATTTTGAACGTAGCTTTAACATTTTTTCAGTAATATCGCTACGATGTCTGCAGTGTGACAGTTTATGGTGATGTCTAGCACTGGGACATCATGACTCAGACACGTGGCATGATGTCCCACCCAGTCACATTATAATAACACCAGGCCAACCAGTCCTAACACTAGCTTCTAAATGCTGAGTGCCAAGCCAGTCAGCTGTTAGTACCATTTTTGTAAATCTTTGGAATGACTCGGCCAGGGTTCAAACCTGCGACCTCCCGCATCCCATGCTAACGCTCTAACCACTAAGCCACAGGAGCGGTCAATTCAAAGTTAAAGTAACGAAGTGCATATATATATATATATATATATATATATATATATATATATATATATATATATATATATATATATATACATATATATATATATATATATATATATATATATATATATACAGACAGACAGACAGACAGACAGATAGATAGATAGATAGATAGATAGATAGATAGATAGATAGATAGATAGATAGATAGATAGATAGATAGATAGATAGATAGATAGATAGATAGATAGATAGATAGATAGATAGATAGATAGATAGATAGAGTTTGTGACAAATAACATGCCATGGAAGAAATGAGTACTGGGGGGAAAATATAAAGTATTTAAGTATTTACCAACCTCTACAAATTACCAGTTATCTATGCATGATACGGTGATCAGGTGATGTACAGGTTGGATCATTTTCATTTAAAACTGTACATCAAACTTTTGTGATATTGAAAAGTATATCTTCATGCGATGAATTGATGTATAGATTGAAATATCAATATTTAATCGTATACCTATGGTGTGTTTTACGAGGCGTAACTTTTCATTCCAGTTCTATCGACCGTGTAGTACTTGAAAATTACAGCACGTTCCATTGACCGCGAAGACAGGTAAAGGGTAGGCATAATGAAATAGGTGTTCATTCACTGCTGATTGAATTTTTAAATACGAAATTGTTATCTTTCCCAACGACCCTTAGATAATCCTCGTGGATAAGGTAATATAATATGTACGAGTACCGATCTGAAAAAAAAATTATTATTTCAAAACCCCTCATGATAAAATCTTCCCAGGACAAAATCCCCCTCTCCAGCAAAATGAAAGATATGATGATAATCTCATACCATCTCTCTAAGTTTTAGAATTTTCAAACCGTTACAAATATACTGGCCAACAACAAAACAGGATATTGATGATAAAAGAAGAAATTTGAAATATCTATATGCTTTATCTTTATTTTAATCATGGACTTTTATGTTCATCTGATAAAAGTATGGCTTACCTTTTAAGTAATTCCTAAAATATAACATTAATGTTCAAATACTGTAAACTCAGTACTTATAAAACCCAATTGACAAAAGCATATGCTGGTGCAATTAGTCTTTAGATAAAAATAATAATAATCCATTTTAATCTCCACGTGTTTGTTAAAGTCTATCATCCAAACCAATACGTCTTTTATCTGCTACAATATCACTTTGAAAGCATGCAAACACTATCTAAACGTTAGGGCTAGGTACAGATGGAGACAAGGAGGGAAAGAATTGTGGATAAGGTAAAATAAATATAAACCTTGATTATATCGAGGACTGACAGACAGTCCCAGAACAAACTTGATAACAATAAAAATATAATACGACTAATTAGAAAAATTAAAACCAATGCCGTTATGGAACAACCATAGACGAACAGCCACAAAAAAAGAAACAAAAATATAGTCGGGAAGACCATGAGATATTTTAATAAAAAGGCAGACAGACAAATAGGAAACACAGAAATATGTATGAGTCAGCATACGTGATTCACACATTCATACACGTGAAGGTGGATACTTAACATTATTATGTCTGTCAAGTCGTGAAGTAAAACCTAATGAGTTATAAATGCATTCATGATATTACATCATTTGTAAGGTCATCGGTTACCATGCACGCCATACACTCAGAATTATGGGTGTCGCCATATGTGTCCAGTGAAAAGTTATACCAACAGAATAAAACCGTATCAAAGCTCTGAGTGAAATGACCACTGATTACAAAGTTTTTGCTTACGGGAGTAAGGAAGTGAAGATACAGGTTTGTCATTCACGATTTGATGAGCAATTTGGGCAATTGTACGAACTCGCTGTCTCCCATCTGTGCACACGTATACGGGTCTTAGTGATCAGAACATACTTCGATAAGAAAAAATGACAAGTGTCTAGAATTTAAGATTATCTTTCTAAAATGGTAAACAAATTACTCCAAATATGTTTATGCAGGTCCTACCTGGAAATTAGTAATGCAGTCTCTTTCAAACACGTAAAATTTGACTAAACATGTTTAGCTTTCAAATTTCGGCAGTCAATAAAAGAAGAACCAAAACAGTATATTTCTTATATATCAGTTTTGAATATTTAATTTTAAATACATTACTCTCGGTCCAAGTAAAGGAGTTGTTTCATAATTAAGTAAATCAGTTATTTAATGAATTTCAAAACACATCTCCTTTGAACTCATTTCGCATCACTTCGTCTCTGATATAAATCCACGAACTTCCGTATAGACCTACCTATGTATGTATGTATGTATGTATGTATGTATGTATGTATGTATGTATGTATGTATGTATGTATGTATGTATGTATGTATGTATGTATGTATGTATGTATGTATGTATGTATGTATGTATGTATGTATGTATGTATGTATGTATGTATGTATGTATGTATGTATGTATGTATGTATGTAGATAGATAGATAGATAGATAGATAGATAGATAGATAGATAGATAGATAGATAGATAGATAGATAGATAGATAGATAGATAGATAGATAGATAGATAGATAGATAGATAGATAGATAGATATTGCTCTGAATACACTTTAATCCATTACATTATTACAACCTAGTCCCAGATTAAAAATGAAAATTGTGCAAAAGTTTGTCGTCAAAGATAATACGTCACAATCATACATAATATGTCATAATCATACATAATACGTCATAATCATACATAATACGTCATAATCATACATAATACGTCATAGTCATACATAATACTCATAATCATACATAATACGTCCTAATCAAATATAATGCATAAATATGAATATAATTTCATGAATGCACCAATCCTGTAGAATATAACTTGTAGCAATGATATATTCGGAGTATATTGGGGAAAGACTCTTATTACAGGGCTATATATTGCATTTAAATTTTCCTCTTTCGACTAAAAGTCAATTATAAATTTTTGGTATGTACATACATTATATGCTTCTCTATATTGTGTCACGAAGAACCCTCACAGAAAATAAAATATTTGAAATCAATGGTCTAAGGAGTCTTATTACAGCTTTTTTCTCCTGCGGAGGTACAATAATTTTCGATCCTATTCACCAACAATTATCCACTCATCATCTTCACAAATTCTGGAAGAAAGAGAAGAAAAAATAACGAAAACCTATTTAATCATTATACATTTTAAACACAATTAAACTTGCAAGTGGGGTCCCGACTGGCCGAGTTTTCTAAAGCGCTCACTGTTACGGATCACTGCCATCTCCCCTCTGCTAGTGTTCCAGTCTCAGGTTCGGTTAACGTGGGTACGTGAGAAAGCTTGCCAGTAGTTTCTCGTGGGGTCCCGAGTGGCCGAGTGGTCTAAAGCGCTCTCCGTTACGGATCACTGCCATCTCACTCTGTCTGTGTGGATTCGAGTCTAAGATTCGGCGAATGTGGATATGTGAGAAAGCTTGCCAATAGCTTCTCGTGGGTCGGTGGTTCTTTCCGCGGATTTCTCGATTTCTTCCTCCACGATTAATACTGGCCGCCATGTATAGCCTATCATGTGCTGAAAAATGGTGTTAAGCCCCACAACAACAACAACAACAACAACTACTACTACTACTACTCTCGTGGGTAGGTGTTTCTTCCCGGGGATTTCCAGAGTTCTTCCCTCACAATTTACATTGACCACCATGTATAGCCGATCTTGTGCTGAAAAATGACGTTAAACCCTACAAAAAAGCATCATCAACAACAAACCTGCAGGTAGTTTTAATATATTTTGCTCGAGAAACTGTTTAACAGTGATCGCTTGGACAGGTTGCCTTTATAGTGCAAAGAAACCCAAGTGGTCTAAAGGTCTCTGGCGATCGACTTTACAGATCACTCACATATTTCATGTCTTTCCGCGTGAGTTTTAATCTTTGTTCGACCATCTTATAGTAAGTTGGTAAGCTTGCCAGTTGCCAGTAGTTTCTAGTGGGTCCATGGTTCTTCACGGGTTTATTCTCCATCAAATATACCGGTCGCCATGGATAGATAAGCACGTGCTGAAGAATAGCGTTAAACACCATAACCACATACACACACGAGAGAAACATGTTTTCTCTTTACATCTCAGTTAAGAATTAGTTCCAAACTGCTGTTTTAGTCTATATTTCATGAATTATCAATATAAGTTCTGCAGATATAATTATTATACAAATCTTCGTCTTCTCCGTATTACTTTGTAATCGTCGGCCCCAATCACCACGCGGACTGGAGTTTCTGTTACCCACTCCACCCACCCCGCTCAGAAGCTACGACATTGGGTTTATGGAATTTTCTCATTACATCCTGTGAGTAAACTATATTGCTCTCGCTGCAATTTCGAATTAGAGAAATCCTTGCCTCAAAGCACCATGCCAGGTGTAATTTCAAGTAATTAATCTAACATTCCATGGGTCACTTTTGACAATGTTATCAATTAGTTCTTTTCAAGACTCCTGACAAATATAGTTCGATGTTGTAAATAAGAGTTTGATGTCATTTGTTACACTATCCAATGAATATTGCATTTCTGTGAAATATTAACTTGCAATCATTTCAAGTAAACATTATCGTTGTGTATTAAAGACCTTCTTTCATAATTTCTTGAATGGGCCAATATTGAAAACCGGTGTCTAACTTCCAGGCTGACATTTGTATCCTTATACGAACAAATGGAACAATTAAAACATTAAAATGCTTAATTAACGTTCCGAATGCATCTCTATTATTTCTCTTTTTCGATCAATACTGAAAATCGATGTCAGAAATGAAGGTCGACTGAAATAGTTGGTCTAATATTAGAAGTATCTTAGCATATATCCTGTGCATTTCCGTACTGGAAATTGAACACAAAACTTAGGTCACGTGCTCAGTCCATTTGTTCTCATGGCAGTGCGTGCTGCACATCAGTCCGGCTCATTTGTTTTCGAATTTCTCCAGCGATAACATTCATTAGATGTGTGTGTGTATGTGTG